TTTGCACTCACTGCTCATAAAGTATAGGGCCTAACCTTACCACATGTAATCACCAGCATCAACGACTCAATATTTGCTGAAGGACAAGCATATGTTGCAATGAGTCGTGCAACTTCTTGGAATAACCTCCAACTCTTAAGCTTTGATCACAAGTCCCTCAAATGTCCCAGAGCCGCCCTAAACGAATACAAGAGACTAGAAAGAATACACACAAATGGCTTACAAAACTTATAATAGCTTACTAGCAAGCTAAAATTTTAATACAATTTTTAAACAAATGCGCAAGAATAAAACCTATAACCGATCATAAATTTTCTATCAAATGTAAAAATTTACTTTTAATATCATATACATTATCATTTAATAAATCAACGCATACCGTAGGTTATGTCGATCACCGAATCGAAAAAACTTAAGTGCAAATTTTAATTTACTTTATATTCAATATTCAGGTGTACCCATACACCTAAAATTTCGTGCTGAAAACTTTTGCTTAGAAGTTAAACTACGGTTATCATAGTGAAATCTTGAGTTATTTACGATTTTTCTGTTTTCTTAGATAACTCAAAATTTTACTATTATAACCGTAATTTGACTTCTAAGCAAAAGTTTTCAGCATGAAATTTTAGGTGTATGGGTACACCTGAATATTGAATATAAAGTAAATTAAAATTTGCACTTAAGTTTTTTCGATTCGGTGATCGACATAACCTTGTACAGTACACATTTACGGTATGCAAAAAAAGACCCAAACATATATATCAGATATATATAAGCATTCTTTGAATAGATCTACATTCTAACTAAACTACACCTGATTTATCACGCACTGCAACAGTGCGATGCGAACCCTTGTTTGCATTTATAATCGTTATGATCTTTAACACGCCAATGATACACATTATTGAAAAATGCATTCATTTACCAACATAGCTCGGCCTTTCTCACAGTTTTTAAAGTTGAAAAGGCCTCCTCTTTTCCCAGAGGCCTCACATTTCTCCAGAGGCTTAGCCTTTCTTCAAAGGCTTCGCCTTTCGCCGGGGGGTTCGTCTTTCACCAGGGATCTCGTCTTTCGCCGGGGTTTCGCCATTTCTTCAGGGGGTTTCGTCTTTCGCCGTTTACCTAAAATGGTTTTACCTAACAACTTTAGTAGATCTCTTTCTAATGCTTTAAAACAAACACTTGATGAGGTTTGCATCTCATTTCTTGGGGATCATTAAATTTATCGTTTTTTCGAATATATGATAATAGTGTACTATTTATTATGTTTATTAGTCTGTTCAGAAAAATGAAGTGGTTTTATTTATGAAAGGAACTCCTGATAGTCCTCAAGTAAATTATCTCAATAAATCATTATGATTACTTTTGAATTTTTTAGCACATTTCATTAATCATCCATTCATAATTTTACATAGTGCGGATTTAGCAGGGCCGTAGTTCAAATCCTTAATACTCAAGGTATTTTATTATGAAATGGAAATATTTAGAGCTAAATGTACTCTTTGTTACTATCTAAATAAGTGTCTTATCATATTGGTTATAATTGATGTAGGTGTGGATCCTAAAAGGATAAAAACATTCAATGTGTTAGAAGATCAAGAGTTAAGAGAAGGAATTAAAGAATACTCGTATGTACAAATAACAATTTCTCATATTAACTTATTATTTAAATGTTAACCTTTTATTGTTTATTATTAGTAAATGGCCAACTGTTCCACAAGTTTATATCAAGGGGGAATTTATTGGTGGATGTGATATCATGCTTAACATGCATCAATCAGGTGAATTGGAAGACTTGCTAGCAAAGGAAGGTTTAATAAATATTGAAGATTCAGTTGATTCTCAAGAGCAAAAATAATGGAAATTGGTAAGTTTTTTGGGATTAATTTTATCATAATTGGTTTAATAGATACAATTTATGTAAAAAAATCTAATTGTAATATTATAGATTTTTAATAATGATTACAATAGTAGCAAATTTTTTTGTAAAAGTGTTTTTTTTTTTACTGGATTATTCATCTGCTACACTCCGAAACAATAGAACTAGGAAAACAGACATTTTTAAATGTCCGGAGCTTTTACATGATAGTTAACTAAAACAGATACATATGCATTAGTCCCCATTAGGCTCTCACATTCCAGATTAATATCTAAAATATTTTTGCAGACTTTCCCTTCTAAATTGAATTGTAATCTTTTTATACTATTTAATCTTTTAAAATGCTCGTAATTTTATTAAAGCAATATCCAAGTTATATGCGCACAAGAAGTTCACAACATATTATAAATCGTACATACTTTAACAAGTTGTGAATTCACTGATCACAAATGGTAGTGGTAATAGCCTGCACAAATAAGAATAACAACTTTAAAACAATGCGTCACCCTGAAATTCAAAAACAAAATAGCACTTACATCATTGCAATAAGGACAATTCCCGAACAACGTATTGAAGCTTTGTTTTGTTGTTGGAATAGACCGCAGCCACTAAAAAATTCGTTATAAGAAAAAGTCGCATGCACCAGAGCTCTTATATCCAAAAATTATTAGAGCACATACTTCGTATAGACAAGAACGATGAAAAGGTTGGCCGCATTTTGCATTGTTACAAGATTGATCAGGTAAAGAACCTTCATTACGATACGAATAGCAAATTCCGCATTCTATATTAATATCCGAAGTTGAAATGGTTTGTGCTGAAGGAAAAGTTATTTCTAGGATGTTCTCAAAGTTTTGCCTAATAGTTAAGTCGAAATTCCTATTCTTAACGAAGAAAAATTTATCAGACTAAAAATTCAAATTACTCCATCATGATAAGTATCATATGTACAACCAATTATTCCAATTTTTTATTATCTTTTCGCGCAATGGGGAGATCAAACCTTCCGTACCAAACAATCGATATTGACATTCTCCTTTTGGACAAGAAGCGTCCAATTCGATTTGTATAGAACAATGATTGCCCAAAGCAATTCTGCGCATCAAATCATTCCGTTTAGGTTTGCATGGTTCCAGAACCCAAGTATGTGTGTCGATATCATCGAGCATTGACCAAACATCTTGAAACTTTTCTAATTCCTGAAAAATGATAAGTATTTATGCATGACGATTTAAATTACGAGTTTATCAAGACTCACTTTAGAGTAGAATGACACGACGTCTTTAAGACTTGTCATATGGCTTGGTGTTGTGAACGAAGGAGTTGGAAGCTCAGCATGTACAATGAGGGGAGTTTGAGGATATGAAAATGGTAAAGACACAAAGATACTATGTTGACGACCAGATGAATCACTGGTGCCAAAATAATTATTTTCGTAAACTTTTAGTAATTTGCGAAAAAATTTGCATGTCAAGTCAACATACTTCAACTTCAATGATAAATTTTTTAGAGAGGGGTTGAATGCCTCTAGTTTGTCCCACCCTATCGAATTAAGCTCATTTATTAAAGTAGAATAATAATTTTCACCCGGTGAAGGATCAGTCTTCTCTTTAGTCATTAAAAGTTCCTGAACAGAATTTTACAGCGTACGACTTTAATAATAAAAATTAATGAAAAACCAAATTATTCAACAAGTAAAACTTTGTAATTAACAAGTAAATCTTTGAGATCAACGAAAAACTCTGAAAAGCTTGCACATTGTTCGAGACGCTGTTAATTAAACCGGTGAATTTTAAGGATACTAATGGTAATCATATTTAACGAAAAAGGACTATAGGAAGGAAGCATACTTGCTGTAAAGCCTTTTCATGACCAAATATAAGCCGTTTTAGCTTAGGACTACCGTAAAGTTTCGCGTTTTTTAGACCTGCAGTATTATTTTCGAGTTTGATTTGAAATGCGAGCTCTTGCCCCTATAAAAAAGATGCAGCTTGTTACCGATTTGTCAGTGAATGACTTGGATATAAGAGAAAGTATAGAAGTGAAACCTTGACGGTAATAAAGCCACAATAAGATAGTTCATCTACATCAGAGGGGACGAGAAGCGGAAAATTCTTAGCATCCATTAAAACAATTTTGTTTAATTGCGTAATTCATTTTTTTATTGGTTAAAAAAAATAGCGAAGATGACTCGATTTTGTAAACAATAAATAAGACTTTAATGAAACAAAAAAAAAATAAAAAAAGATTGGAGCATATTATTTATCATGATATACTTCCGCGTATACTGTATTTACAGTATTAAAAAAAAATTGTTGGAAAATTGTAAGGCCTGTAGAGGAGAGGCAGTGAATAACTTTTGATTCACTACAGTCATACCTCTTTATAATCACCCCTTATATAATCACATATATAAAAACCTTTTTATAATCACACCTATATCTTCGCCCAATTACTATCTAATAAATAACAAAAGACCTCTATATAAGCACACCTCTTTACAAGAACAGTTTTTTAAAAAAGTTCCTATTGTCCCAAAAGTGTGATCATAAAGAGGTACGACTGTAGTCCGTTTAGATGATTTTGCCACCAAAATGACCGTCTCGATGGGATGATTCTGTGATTGGATTTTAACAATTTTGGGTGCATTAGACGGTCATTTTGGTGACAAAATCAGCTTAGTTAACCAACTTTAATAGACGCTAACTATTAACCAAAACCTTGCTGATAAATGGGAGTTAGACACTCTTATCAAGCCAAAAAAGCTGAACTCAAGCATCCCTATCAGCATATGACATTAATAACCGATTAGGCACAAAGAATCTTGATAAGCCAAGTTTTCTACTTTAAATATATATCAGTACGAGTGATAAAACAATATAAATTAAATTCTCTATCGACATTAATATGGTTCCAAGAATCTTTTAATATCTTCAATTTTAATATAATGTCAGACACCTAACTTAGAGGTAGACTCTGTGTTAACGCGTTTGATCAACATTTCGTATGCAAGACGCCGATCACACGGTGATTCGTATTACTGTATTACGTTAATAACGGTTAACGTGAGAACTAAATAAAATTGCGCTTTATTTCGTTTGCTAAAATACCTTTTGCAATAATGGACGTGGATGACAACAAACCAGGATTGGAACAAGAAATACAGCAGATGCTTGAACAAGTAAAAAGGACTCCTTGTTCCATAAATCACTTTTAGATATTCTCGGTCTAAAAACATTAATTTTATGGTGTTGAACGATATCTATATAGCTTTCAAGCAACAGTTACCAGTACGATGTATACGTGCGATATATTCAAGCTCTTCGCCAAGCTGCATTATTTGAGGAATTGAAGGACGCTCGAGAAAGGATGCATAGGATTTTTCCATTACCTGAAGGTAATATATTAATTCAAATTGAATTATCACCGCAAGCAAAAAATATTACAACTTTTAAAATGACTAGGTGATCTAATGTATTAATTTAATCAATAGATATATGGCTCGAATGGATCCAAGATGAATCACGTTTAGCTTCCACAAAAGAAGAAAAGCAAAGAGTGATTCACCTTTATTCTGAAGCTGTCCAAGATTATCTATGTACTTACAATAATTTTTTCTTGATTTGGATCTTCACTATTTATTCATATAATAACAATTCATTTTATTTAACAATATTTTAATAGCCATTAAACTTTGGAAAGGATATATAGATTATATGATACAAGAGTATAAAAGTTTTCTTGAAGTTGTTACACTAGAACAAATCCGTTCAGTGTTTACAGAAGCAATTAAAAAAACCGGAAATTTTGTTCCAGAGGTATGACTTGTCAATGAATAATGTATAAGCGGTCTAGGTTTTTTAGTCAAAGTTGTCGCTAATTTTATTAATTTGTTAGAGCCATATAGTTTGGGATACGTGTAAAGAATTCGAAGAACAAATATTAGAGGTGGGAAAAGTCTATTGTTTTTTAAATTTTTTTTTTTTTTTATTTCTTATATATATGCAATTTTTACCATTTTTTATAGGCATCATCTCGGTATCTTAACGAAATTTTTTTTTTTTTCTTTGAAATAAATTCTTATTAAATATTTATTATTAGTGATGAAATACAAAAACAAAGAGTGCAAAAAATGTATTTGGATAGACTCAAGGTTCCTCATGCAAGTATGTATTTATACTTAAATGGTTCATATTTTGATCAAATACACCATTAAACATTTATTTTCGTGTTTTAAAGCTATAGAAAAATCCTATTCTGATTATTCGTCATTTATCACCAAATATGACAATTCCAATTATGAAACATGTATGGTTGAATCCAATACTTTCTTTAGTCAAGCAAAGAGAAGATATTATGAAAGAGATCATTACGAACAAGCATTAGTAAGTGTTTCGTACAGAACCTTTTAACGTGCGTGTTTCTCATTATGATTTTTTTTTTTTTTTTTAGGTTGCATCTGAAAATGCTCTAGATAAATTTATGGAATACATAGAATTCGAGAAAAAACAGACAACACCCAACTGGCAGGCAGTCCGCACCTTATATGAAAGGGCCATCGTCTTTCACTGTTTGGATGCATCACTATGGGAGAATTATATTTTCCAATTAATTGATAAAAAATTTCCCATTAATATGGTTCTTAGCGTTGTTGAGCGTAGTGTTCATAATTGTCCATGGTCTGGAGATCTTTGGAGTCATTATATTCGAGTTTTAGAAAAAGAATATGATTCCTATGATAAAATCAAAAATATAGTTCATAGGGCCTTCTCCACTGGCATGCTTAATAATAGCGTAGATGAATCAGTAAAAGTTCTATTGGCCCATTGTGATTTTGAAAGGAGAAAAATAAAGACACCATTGAATTCAGAAAATACATTGAATCTTATAAATATTATACGAGAAAGTCTTCAAACAGTCAAAAAATGTTAGTATTAGAGTTATATATATTCTGTTTTTGACATATTTTAACGTAGATTTTCATCTAAGCTTTTCCGAGCGGTGATCCCAATTATCGTTTGGAAAAATATTTGATAGAAATTGAGGTAAAACATTAAATTGAATATGAAAATTTACTGTATTTTTTTCATTTCTTATATGATTTGTAAATGTTTTTTTTTATAGACATTGAATAAGAACCTTACAAATGCAAGAGAAACTTGGGATGATATTATTAAAGCTCATGGCAAAGATTCTGAAACTTGGTTACGCTATATAGAGTGGGAAAGGTGCGTGCTTTTGAATTTTTGTTTGTAAAATATTGAAGCGTTGAGCCGAACAAAATTATATGCATAACCATTCCATGCTTAGATTCATGGGAAACCGTGATGGAGTTATTGAAAATCATGATGAAATTCACAAAAAATTCAAAAGAGCGTCCCAACAAAATACTGACTGGCCAGAACGTATATTTGACGCGTGGGAACAATTTGAGCACCAATATGGAACATTGGAAAGTATGGAACACGCGCTTATGTTTATTAAAAAGCAAACGAAAGTTGTTGCGCATAGGCGTGCAAAGGTAATAAATATGTTATATTCCTGATACTTAAAAAGAGTGATAATGACCTTTATTTGTTATTAGAATGCTGCTTCATTGGAAGCCCAAAACGTTGGTTCTGAACAAGCATTCCAGGTATCAACCGCCTTGAATTCCGAAGCTTCCCAGTCATCCAAAGTATCACAACCTGAAATTTTAGAACCAGGTAATGATGCAAAAAAAAGGAAGCCTGAAGAGGATGAGTCACAATTAGAAGGCTCACCAGCTTACAAAAAAAATAAAGGTTCATCGACTGTTTTTTATTAGAGGATGTGTGTTTATTTGTATCAACTTGAATTAATCTATTATTTCATAATTTTAGTTCAACATCCTGAAAAACCAAAGCGGTAAGTTGAGCATAATCGTAACCATTTTATTTTAGTTAACTCAAATCTTATTATTATATATTATAGTGATCGTGAGTTTACTACGATAGTTGCCAGTAATCTTCCATTAGATGTTACAGAGGGCCAGTTGAAAACTCTTTTCAATGAGGTATGATAAAATTTTTATGTCCATATCCATTATTAATGCATTATTCGCAATTCTGAATCTATTCATTTTCTATCACTTATATAGTGTGGAAAAATTGTTAGAATTCATATAATTGAAAATACGGAAAAAGCACAGAAGTCTGCGCACGTAGAGTTCGCAAAAAGGGTAAATAAATAATTTTTTGACAAATTTAAAATGTATAATAATTGCAAAAATATTTCATGTAGGAAGATGTTCTCGCCGCGTTAACAAAAGACAAGAAGAAGATCGGAGATAATGAAATTAACGTGTATAAAATTACAGAACATACACTTTTCGTCACCAATTTCGCAGATTCTGCTAATCTTAAAGAAATCTTTGATAAAGTAATCAAATTTATGAATGATTTATATGATTTCTTAATTAAAATTGAATATAATGATAATATATTAAATACGCATTTTTTTATTTAGTACGGAAAAATAATCGACATTCGTTACCCAAGCAAAACCAAAAGAGTAGGAAATTTTTGTTATGTAGAATACGAAAATCGGGTAAATATTTAACATAGGAATTTTTGGCAGTATATTTTGACAACCTTTTAATTTATATACAAATATATTGATTTAAATCAGGAATCTGCTTTATCTGCTTTGGAAAGTAATGGCTACGAGACCGAACCAGGAAAGAAGTTGAATGTGGTGATTTCTAATCCTTCATTAAAGAAAAAACGTTCTCCACCAAAGTAAGGGAATTATTTCTTTGGTATTTATAATATTTGTTATTAATATTTTTGTTTTTGTAGACAAAATGAACTCTATATCAGAAATCTTCCTAGTCATGTTGAACGTAGTGAATTGGAAACACTTTGCAAAACTGTTAAGCATTTTATTAAATTCGCTTGCTTCACCAATTAGTTATGATGATACTAATAGAAATACGTGATGATTATAATTTTATAGTATGGGCCCGTAATTGATGTTAGAATTCCTAAAACTAAGGATAATAAATGTAAAGGACTAGCATTTGTTGAATTTGAAAGCGAGGTTTGGCACTTGTTCTTTCTTTATTTTTTTCATTTTATTTTAATTTTCTGACCAACGACGGATTCACAGGAGCATGCAAAAGCTGCCCTTTCCCTACATGACACGGAATTTAAAGAGTGTCTATTGAACGTGAAAATTAGCACTATTGAACGGGACTATGGGCTAAAATCCACACCCGGTGGGCCTAACAACAATAAGTATGTATATTTAATGTTTAATAAATGTAATATTTTAAACTTCAATTAAATTTATGCAATATCTGAGCTTTTATTATCATTATTATATATTCTATTTTATTTATAATTATTTATTTATAGGGATAGTAAACCGCTGATGATGCCGAGAAAACTGCTAAGACCATCAACAAAATTGCAGTTATCTGGGCCATTAAACCGAAATACGAAAATAGATCAAAGCTAATTTTGGCTCAGCGGGTTGATATTCTTCAAAATCTGTGGAAATGATAATAATTCGCACTAAATAAGCTTTTGATTATTACAAAAGTTTTTTTTTATACTTGTATGTATTTCAAGTCATAATTTCTCGTGTAACATCAACTATTATCGTTATCATTAAAGATGTAAGCGCGTGTTCAAAGAATGAATTTGGATCAATGAGAATAATACAACATTTTAAGTAACATTAAAATATAAATAAACCATAATAGTGTTATTAACAAACCTTGATATCTATGTTATTACATACATATTTTATTAAACCTTTTAAATCAGAAATATAGTTTACAACTAGGGTTCCAATTCGGTTTAAAAACGCAAAAGATTTGTGCCAGTTTTTGTCGATCATTCGGCCTAGAACGATCGACATCGGCCTGCATAAGCTGATTTAGATTAGCATTAGAAGAGAATTTAGAGCAAAAAGTTATACCAAAATTATGAGAAAAATTTTTTTTTATTAAAAAAAATTTTTTTAATTTTATTAATTATAATTGATAAAACCTGGCACAAATTTTAATTTTTAATAAATTAGATTAAAATTAGCAATTTTTTTAACCAAACTTATATTTTAAAATTTTACTAATCAATCAAAAAATTAAAAGATATATTATTATTGGTTATACAGTATTATAGTATATATATAATATAATAGAACTTTTATACAGGTTTAATTTGTATTACTATATAATATAAATTAATATTATATCAAAATATATATATAAAATTATACAAATTTAATACTGTAAATTAATTTTAATAATCTAGTTAAATTTTGCAATATTAACAATTAGGGTTGATACATTATAAACTAGTTAATAATTAAGCTTAACTAGATTAATTTAACCAATTTAACTAATTGGTTAAAGAGGTTAGTATTAATTAAATTAATTAAAAAATATATACTGTATTTAAATACAGTATATACATATATATAGTATAGTAAATATATAGTATAAATTATATATATATATATATATATTTTTTGTAAAATTTGGCAATCTTGCCAACACTTTATTAGGATAAAATATTAAACTCATAGGTAAAATATCAATTATGACTCAAGTCATCTTAAGCCCACCTAAATTACAAGTGTTCACTAACCTAGTTGTTCTCAAATAAATACCTATGTTCGATCTGCTATAGTAAATATTTATCTCCATACCAAAAAACCCTGCAAGTGAATTCTTTGATACTTCACTAAATGGTATTTATAGCCTATTGTTACAGAGTAGTAGCCTTCTTAATTTACTCTATAACGACGACACGGCACAGGGAATCCTTTTGTAGGTATATGCGGTGTCCAAGAGGTA